AGGGAAAAGGTGAGAGGAGGAGAGTGCATAGAGGCTAGAATGTAAACAACGTGGCTTCTATGAAAGTGAACTGTGTTTATGCGTGATCAGGGGTGCATTCATTCCGCCGATTCTGTTGAATGTTTCTTAAACGGAACCTAATGAAACAGGGATAAAAATACCTGAATTTGTCCAACAGAAACTATTGTTTGCAACTGATGGACTAATGATTACACCCTAGATAAGCTATATGCAGGCAAGAATGTGCAAGGCGGTATTGAAAGTGTCACTGTCTGTCCATGAGTCACTGTCTGTCATCTCAAATATTTCTCTCGACCTGTGTGCACCTACATCGTAAACTTTCATTCATAGGCTAGGTTGTAGCAACCTCATGATGGATATAGGGAACATTTCAGTATTTTGTAGTAGCCTTAACCAATCGATGTTACATTGAACTGGGTTAATGGAATATGAATAAGGCCATGCTCATGAAAATAAAAATTGTCCTCCCTCATCATAACCGGCACCAACCGCCACTGGTATATAAGCATAAATACTCACATGGGTCTATGGCTCAGGTGTTGGTGAAGGACTCATCCAAGGACTGCTGGCTAAAGAAGAGGTCAGGGGCTGCACCTGGGAAAAATGGATTTGAGTTTATGGTTTGGAGAGCAGTTTTGCATAAACATAGCCCATTATGTGTCAACATTACAGATGTCACAGACATCTCGCCCCCCTGAAAATCTAATTGCAGTATTAGGCCAAAAATTGTTGTCTGACATACCAGGTTCATTGTTGCTGACAGTTGAGATGGACTCCTTTTCCTGCTGAAAACATTCATAAAGTCGCTTTAGACTAGACATCACTAAATACCTCTCAAATCGTAGGGTTAGATTATGACCATTTTAATTGCTTTTGATTCATTACTCAATGCACTTTCTATGAAGAATGAAATTCCACACTGATCAAACACTAAATGGATGTTTACTCAGAACAAAGATGAAAGGAAATACAAAATAACAATAATTACATTCTAACTAAATAGTGTTCTCAAACAGTACAGATCACACAGGAGTTACATACTACATGTTCAGTTAATAACGTTTACTTTACCTTTCTTTACTCTATTTTTAAATAATCAAAGTATTACAGTAAATTATAGGTCAAATTACAATGCTTATGAGTCAGTATGTGTAAGTACAGTATCATTAAATCAAATCAAATCAAATTTTATTGGTCACATGCGCCGAATACAACAGGTGCAGACATTACAGTGAAATGCTTACTTACAGCCCTTAACCAACAGTGCATTTATTTTAAACAAAAAAAGTAAGAATAAAACAACAACAAAAAAAGTGTTGAGAAAAAAAGAGCAGAAGTAAAATAAAGTGACAGTAGGGAGGCTATATATACAGTAAAATAAAGTGACAGTAGGGAGGCTATATATACAGGGGGGTACCTTTGCAGAGTCAATGTGCGGGGGCACCGGCTAGTTGAGGTAGTTGAGGTAATATGTACATGTGGGTAGAGTTAAAGTGACTATGCATAAATACTTAACAGAGTAGCAGCAGCGTAAAAAGGATGGGGTGGGGGGGCAGTGCAAATAGTCCGGGTAGCCATGATTAGCTGTTCAGGAGTCTTATGGCTTGGGGGGTAGAAGCTGTTGAGAAGTCTTTTGGACCTAGACTTGGCACTCCGGTACCGCTTGCCGTGCGGTAGCAGAGAGAACAGTCTATGACTAGGGTGGCTGGAGTCTTTGACAATTTTGAGGGCCTTCCTCTGACACCGCCTGGTATAGAGGTCCTGGATGGCAGGGAGCTTTGCCCCAGTGATGTACTGGGCCGTACGCACTACCCTCTGTAGTGCCTTGCGGTCAGAGGCCAAGCAGTTGCCATACCAGGCGGTGATGCAACCAGTCAGGATGCTCTCGATGGTGCAGCTGTAGAATTTTTTGAGGATCCAAGGACCCATGCCAAATCTTTTTAGTCTCCTGAGGGGGAATAGGCTTTGTCGTGCCCTCTTCACGACTGTCTTGGTGTGTTTGGACCATGATAGTTCGTTGGTGATGTGGACACCAAGGAACTTGAAGCTCTCAACCTGTTCCACTACAGCCCCGTCGATGAGAATGGGGGCGTGCTCAGTCCTCTTTTTTTTCCTGTAGTCCACAATCATCTCCTTTGTCTTGGTCACGTTGAGGGAGAGGTTGTTGTCCTGGCACCACACGGCCAGATCTCTGACCTCCTCCCTATAGGCTGTCTCATCGTTGTCGGTGATCAGGCCTACCACTGTTGTGTCGTCGGCAAACTTAATGATGGTGTTGGAGTCGTGCCTGGCCATGCAGTCATGGGTGAACAGAGAGTACAGGAGGGGACTGAGCACGCACCCCTGAGGGGCCCCCGTGTTGAGGATCAGTGTGGCAGATGTGTTGTTACCTACCCTTACCACCTGGGGGCGGCCCGTCAGGAAGTCCAGGATCCAGTTGCAGAGGGAGGTGTTTAGTCCCAGGATCCTTAGCTTAGTGATGAGCTTAGAGTGCACTATGGTGTTGAATGCTGAGCTGTAGTCAATGAATACCATTCTCACGTAGGTGTTCCTCTTGTCCAGGTGGGAAAGGGCAGTGTGGAGTGCGATAGAGATTGCATCATCTGTGGATCTGTTGGGGCGGTATGCAAATTGGAGTGGGTCTAGGGTTTCTGGGATTATGCTGTTGATGTGAGCCATGACCAGTCTTTCAAAGCACTTCATGGCTACAGACGTCAGTGATACGGGTCGGTAGTCATTTAGGCAGGTTATCTTAGAGTTCTTGGGCACGGGGACTATGGTGGTCTGCTTGAAACATGTTGGTATTACAGACTCAGTCAGGGACATGTTGAAAATGTCAGTGATGACACTTGCCAGTTGGTCAGCACATGCTCGGAGTGGACTGTCCATTAGTAGTGGTAGGTGGTGAGGTGGTGGACTGTCCGTTAGTAGTGGTAGGTGGTGTGGTGGTGGACTGTCCGTTAGTAGTGGTAGGTGGTGAGTTGGTGGACTGTCCATTAGTAGTGGTAGGTGGTGAGGTGGTGGACCGTCCATTACTAGTGGTAGGAGGTGAGGTGGTGGATTGTCCATTAGTAGTGGTAGGTGGTGAGGTGGTGGACTGTCCACTACTAGTGGTAGGTGGTGAGTTAGGGGACTGTCCATTTGTAGTATTAGGTGGTGTGGTGGTGGATTGTCCATTAGTAGTGGTAGGTGGTGTGGTGGTGGACTGTGCATTAGTAGTGGTAGGCGGTGAGGTGGGGGACTGTCCATTAGTAGTGGTAGGTGGTGTGGTGGTGGACTGTCCATTAGCAGTGGTAGGTGGTGTGGTAGTGGACTGTCCATTAGTAGTGGTAGGTGGTGAGGTGGGGGACTCTCCATTAGTAGTGGTAGGTGGTGAGGTGGTGGACTGTCCATTAGTTGTGGTAGGTGGTGAGGTGGTGGACTGTCCATTAGTAGTGGTAGGAGGTGAGGTGGTGGACTGTCCATTAGTAGTGGTAGATGTTGTGTTGGTGGACTGTCCGTTAGTAGTGGTAGGTGGTGGTGTCGTGGACTGTCCATTATTAGTGGTAGGTGGTGAGGTGGTGGACTGTCCATTAGTAGTGTTAGGTGGTGAGGTGGTGGACTGTCCATTAGAAGTGGTAGGTAGTGAGGTGGTGGACTGACTATTACTAGTGGTAGGTGGTGAGGTGGTGGACTGTCCATTAGTACTGGTAGATGTTGTGTTGGTGGACTGTCCGTTAGTAGTGGTAGGTGGTGTGGTGGTGGACTGTCTATTAGAAGTGGTCGGTAGTGGGGTGGTGGACTGTCCATTAGTAGTGGTAGGTGATGAGGTGGTGGACTGTCCGTTAGTAGTGGTAGGTGGTGTGGTGGTGGACTGTCCGTTAGTAGTGGTAGGTGGTGAGTTGGTGGACTGTCCATTAGTAGTGGTAGGTGGTGAGGTGGTGGACCGTCCATTAGTAGTGGTAGGAGGTGAGGGTGGTGGACTGTCCATTAGTAGTGGTAGGTGGTGAGGTGTGGACTGGTCCATTAGTAGTGGTAGGTGGTGAGGTGGTGGACCGTCCATTAGTAGTGGTAGGTGGTGAGGTGGTGGACTGTCCATTACTAGTGGTAGGTGGTGAGTTAGGGGACTGTCCATTTGCAGTATTAGGTGATGTGGTGGTCGATTGTGCATTAGTAGTGGTAGGTGGTGTGGTGGTGGACTGTCCATTAGTCGTGGTAGGTGGTGTGGTAGTGGACTGTCCATTAGTAGAGGTAGGTGGTGATGTGGGGGACTCTCCATTAGTAGTGGTAGGTGGTGAGGTGGTGGACTGTCCATTAGAAGTGGTAAGGTAGTGAGGTGGTGGACTGACTATTAGTAGTGGGTAGGTGGTGAGGTGGTGGACTGTCCATTAGTAGTGGTAGATGTTGTGTTGGGGGACTGTCCTTAGTAGTGGTAGGTGGGTGTGATGGTGGACTGTCTATTAGAAGTGGTAGGTAGTGGGGTGGTGGACTGTCCATTAGTAGTGGTAGGTGGTGAGGTGGTGGACTGTCCGTTAGTAGTGGTAGGTGGTGTGGTGGTGGACTGTCCGTTAGTAGTGGTAGGTGGTGAGTTGGTGGACTGTCCATTAGTAGTGGTAGGTGGTGAGGTGGTGGACCGTCCATTAGTAGTGGTAGGAGGTGAGGTGGTGGACTGTCCATTAGTAGTGGTAGGTGGTGAGGTGGTGGACTGTCCATTAGTAGTGGTAGGTGGTGAGGTGTTGGACCGTCCATTAGTAGTGGTAGGAGGTGAGGTGGTGGACTGTCCATTAGTAGTGGTAGGTGGTGAGGTGGTGGACTGTCCATTACTAGTGGTAGGTGGTGAGTTAGGGGACTGTCCATTTGCAGTATTAGGTGGTGTGGTGGTGGATTGTCCATTAGTAGTGGTAAGTGGTGTGGTGGTGGACTGACCATTACTAGTGGTAGGTGGTGAGGTGGGGGACTGTCCATTAGTAGTGGTAGGTGGTGTGGTGGTGGACTGTCCATTAGTAGTGGTAGGTGGTGTGGTAAGTGGACTGTCCATTAGTTGAGGTAGGTGGTGAGGTGGGGGACTCTCCATTAGTAGTGGTAGGTGGTGAGGTGGTGGACTGTCCATTAGTAGTGGTAGGTGGTGAGGTGGTGGACTGTCCATTAGTAGTGGTAGGAGGTGAGGTGGTGGACTGTCCAATAGTAGTGGTAGATGTAGTGTTGGTGGACTGTCCGTTAGTAGTGGTAGGTGGTGGTGTCGTGGACTGTCCATTATTAGTGGTAGGTGGTGAGGTGGTGGACTGTCCATTAGTAGTGTTAGGTGGTGAGGTGGTGGACTGTCCATTAGAAGCGGTAGGTAGTGAGGTGGTGGACTGACTATTAGTAGTGGTAGGTGGTGAGGTGGTGGACTGTCCATTAGTAGTGGTAGATGTTGTGTTGGTGGACTGTCCGTTAGTAATGGTAGGTGGTGTGGTGGTGGACTGTCTATTAGAAGTTGTAGGTAGTGGGGTGGTGGACTGTCTATTAGTAGTGGTAGGTGGTGAGGTGGTGGACTGTCCATTAGAAGTGGTAGGTAGTGAGGTGGTGGACTGACTATTAGTAGTGGTAGGTGGTGAGGTGGTGGACTGTCCTTTAGTAGTGGTAGATGTTGTGTTGGTGGACTGTCCGTTAGTAGTGGTAGGTGGTGTGATGGTGGACTGTCTATTAGAAGTGGTAGGTAGTGGGGTGGTGGACTGTCCATTAGTAGTGGTAGGTGGTGAGTTGGTGGACTGTCCATTAGTAGTGGTAGGTGGTGAGGTGGTGGACCGTCCATTAGTAGTGGTAGGTGGTGAGGTGGTGGACTGTCCATTAGTAGTGGTAGATGTTGTGTTGGTGGACTGTCCGTTAGTAGTGGTAGGTGGTGGTGTCGTGGACTGTCCATTATTAGTGGTAGGTGGTGAGGTGGTGGACTGTCCATTAGTAGTGTTAGGTGGTGAGGTGGTGGACTGTCCATTAGAAGTGGTAGGTAGTGAGGTGGTGGACTGACTATTACTAGTGGTAGGTGGTGAGGTGGTGGACTGTCCATTAGTACTGGTAGATGTTGTGTTGGTGGACTGTCCGTTAGTAGTGGTAGGTGGTGTGGTGGTGGACTGTCTATTAGAAGTGGTCGGTAGTGGGGTGGTGGACTGTCCATTAGTAGTGGTAGGTGATGAGGTGGTGGACTGTCCGTTAGTAGTGGTAGGTGGTGTGGTGGTGGACTGTCCGTTAGTAGTGGTAGGTGGTGAGTTGGTGGACTGTCCATTAGTAGTGGTAGGTGGTGAGGTGGTGGACCGTCCATTAGTAGTGGTAGGAGGTGAGGTGGTGGACTGTCCATTAGTAGTGGTAGGTGGTGAGGTGGTGGACTGTCCATTAGTAGTGGTAGGTGGTGAGGTGGTGGACCGTCCATTAGTAGTGGTAGGTGGTGAGGTGGTGGACTGTCCATTACTAGTGGTAGGTGGTGAGTTAGGGGACTGTCCATTTGCAGTATTAGGTGGTGTGGTGGTCGATTGTGCATTAGTAGTGGTAGGTGGTGTGGTGGTGGACTGTCCATTAGTCGTGGTAGGTGGTGTGGTAGTGGACTGTCCATTAGTAGAGGTAGGTGGTGAGGTGGGGGACTCTCCATTAGTAGTGGTAGGTGGTGAGGTGGTGGACTGTCCATTAGAAGTGGTAGGTAGTGAGGTGGTGGACTGACTATTAGTAGTGGTAGGTGGTGAGGTGGTGGACTGTCCATTAGTAGTGGTAGATGTTGTGTTGGGGGACTGTCCGTTAGTAGTGGTAGGTGGTGTGATGGTGGACTGTCTATTAGAAGTGGTAGGTAGTGGGGTGGTGGACTGTCCATTAGTAGTGGTAGGTGGTGAGGTGGTGGACTGTCCGTTAGTAGTGGTAGGTGGTGTGGTGGTGGACTGTCCGTTAGTAGTGGTAGGTGGTGAGTTGGTGGACTGTCCATTAGTAGTGGTAGGTGGTGAGGTGGTGGACCGTCCATTAGTAGTGGTAGGAGGTGAGGTGGTGGACTGTCCATTAGTAGTGGTAGGTGGTGAGGTGGTGGACTGTCCATTAGTAGTGGTAGGTGGTGAGGTGTTGGACCGTCCATTAGTAGTGGTAGGAGGTGAGGTGGTGGACTGTCCATTAGTAGTGGTAGGTGGTGAGGTGGTGGACTGTCCATTACTAGTGGTAGGTGGTGAGTTAGGGGACTGTCCATTTGCAGTATTAGGTGGTGTGGTGGTGGATTGTCCATTAGTAGTGGTAGGTGGTGAGGTGGTGGACCGTCCATTAGTAGTGGTAGGTGGTGAGGTGGTGGACTGTCCATTAACTAGTGGTAGGTGGTGAGTTAGGGGGACTGTCCATTTGCAGTATTAGGTGGTGTGGTGGTGGATTGTCCATTAGTAGTGGTAGGTGGTGTGGTGGTGGACTGACCATTAGTAGTGGTAGGTGGTGAGGTGGGGGACTGTCCATTAGTAGTGGTAGGTGGTGTGGTGGTGGACTGTCCATTAGTAGTGGTAGGTGGTGTGGTAGTGGACTGTCCATTAGTAGAGGTAGGTGGTGAGGTGGGGGACTCTCCATTAGTAGTGGTAGGTGGTGAGGTGGTGGCCTGTCCATTAGTAGTGGTAGGTGGTGAGGTGGTGGACTGTCCATTAGTAGTGGTAGGAGGTGAGGTGGTGGACTGTCCATTAGTAGTGGTAGATGTAGTGTTGGTGGACTGTCCGTTAGTAGTGGTAGGTGGTGGTGTCGTGGACTGTCCATTATTAGTGGTAGGTGGTGAGGTGGTGGACTGTCCATTAGTAGTGTTAGGTGGTGAGGTGGTGGACTGTCCATTAGAAGTGGTAGGTAGTGAGGTGGTGGACTGACTATTAGTAGTGGTAGGTGGTGAGGTGGTGGACTGTCCATTAGTAGTGGTAGATGTTGTGTTGGTGGACTGTCCGTTAGTAATGGTAGGTGGTGTGGTGGTGGACTGTCTATTAGAAGTGGTAGGTAGTGGGGTGGTGGACTGTCTATTAGTAGTGGTAGGTGGTGAGGTGGTGGACTGTCCATTAGTAGTGGTAGGTGGTGTTGTGGTGGACTGTCCATTAGTAGTGGTAGGTGGTGTGGTTGTGGACTGTCCATTAGTAGTGGTAGGTAGTGAGTTGGTGGACTGACTATTAGTAGTGGTAGGTGGTGAGGTGGTGGACTGACCATTAGTAGTGGTAGATGTTGTGTTGGTGGACTGTCCGTTAGTAGTGGTAGGTGGTGTGGGGGTGGACTGTCTAATAGTAGTGATAGTTGGTGAGGTGGTGGACTGTCCATTAGTAGTGGTAGGTAGTGAGGTGGTGGACTGACTATTAGTAGTGGTAGGTGGTGAGGTGGTGGACTGACCATTAGTAGTGGTAGATGTTGTGTTGGTGGACTGTCCGTTAGTAGTGGTAGGTGGTGTGATGGTGGACTGTCTATTAGAAGTGGTAGGTAGTGGGGTGGTGGACTGTCCATTAGTAGTGGTAGGTGGTGAGGTGGTGGACTGTCCGTTAGTAGTGGTAGGTGGTGTGGTGGTGGACTGTCCGTTAGTAGTGGTAGGTGGTGAGTTGGTGGACTGTCCATTAGTAGTGGTAGGTGGTGAGGTGGTGGACTGTCCATTAGTAGTGGTAGATGTAGTGTTGGTGGACTGTCCGTTAGTAGTGGTAGGTGGTGGTGTCGTGGACTGTCCATTATTAGTGGTAGGTGGTGAGGTGGTGGACTGTCCATTAGTAGTGTTAGGTGGTGAGGTGGTGGACTGTCCATTAGTAGTGGTAGGAAGTGAGGTAGTGGACTGACTATTAGTAGTGGTAGGTGGTGAGGTGGTGGACTGTCCATTAGTAGTGGTAGATGTTGTGTTGGTGGAATGTCCGTTAGTAATGGTAGGTGGTGTGGTGGTGGACTGTCTATTAGAAGTGGTAGGTAGTGGGGTGGTGGACTGTCCATTAGTAGTGGTAGGTGGTGTTGTTGTGGTGGACTGTCCATTAGTAGTGGTAGGTGGTGTGGTGGTGGACTGTCCGTTAGTAGTGGTAGGTGGTGTGGTGGTGGACTGTCTAATAGTAGTGATAGTTGGTGAGGTGGTGGACTGTCCATTAGTATTGGTAGGTCGTGAGGTGGTGGACTGTCTATTAGTAGTGGTAGGTGGTGAGGTGGTGGACTGTCCATTAGTAGTGGTAGGTGGTGAGGTGGTGGACTGTCCATTGGTAGAGGTAAGTGGTGAGGGGGTGGACTGTCCATTAGTGGTGGTATGTGGTGAGGTGGTGGACTTTCCATTAGTAGTGGTAGGTGGTGAGATGGTGGCCTGTCCATTACTAGTGGTAGGTGGTGAGTTGGGGGACTGTCCATTAGTAGTGGTAGTTGGTGTGGTGGTGGAAAGTCTATTAGTAGTGTTAGAAGATGTTGTGTTGGAATCTCTGTTAGTAGTAGTAGGTGGTGATGTGGTGGAATGTCTATTAGTAGTGGTAGGTGATGAGGTGGTGGACTGTCCATTACTATGGTAGGTGGTGAGTTGGGTACTGTCCATTAGTAGTGGTAGGTTAGTGAGGTGGTGGGAACTGGTCCGTTAGTATGGTAGGTGGTGAGGTGGGGGACTGTCCATTTTAGTAGTGGTAGGTGGTGGTGGTGGTGGAACTGTCCGTTGTATGGTAGGTTGTGTAGTTGGTGGACTGTCCATACTAGTGGTAGGTGGTGGTTGTGGGACTGTCCAGTAGTATGGTAGTATGTTGTGGTGGAAAGTCTATTAGTTAGTGTTAGAAGATGTTGTGTTGGAATCTCTGTTAGTAGTAGTAGGTGGTGATGTGGTGGAATGGTCTATTAGTAAGGGGTAGTGATATGTGTGGCCTGTCCGTTTTATTAAGTGGTAGGGAAGAACTAAAGCAGGAAAAGAAAAAAAGGGAAGAAGAAAGAAGAGAAATGTTGTTATTGTGGAACTGTCTATAGAGTGGTAAGGTAGTGGGGGTGGTTGACTGTCCCTTAGTATGTGGTAGGTGGTGAGGGGGTGGGTGGACTGTCCGTTAGTAGTGTAGGGTGGTGTGGTGGTGGACTGTCCGTTAGTAGTTGGTAGGTGGTGAGTTGGTGGACTGTCCCATTAGTAGTGGTAGTGGTGAGGGTGGTGGACCATCCATTAGTAGTGGTAGGAGGTGAGGTGGTGAACTGTCCATTAGTAGTGGTAGGTGGTGAGGTGGTGGGACTGTCCATTAGTAGTGGTAGGTGGTGAGGTGGTGGACCATCCATTAGTAGTGGGTAGGAGGTGAGGTGGTGGACTGTCCCATTAGTAGTGGTAGGGTGGTGAGGTGGTGGACTGTCCATTAGTAGTGGTAGGTGGTGAGGTTGGTGGACCGTCCCATTAGTAGTGGTAGGTGGTGAGGTGGTGGACTGTCCATTACTAGTGGGTAGGTGGTGAGTTATGGGACTGTCCATTTGCAGTATTAGGTGGTGTGGTGGTGGACTGTCCGTTAGTAGTGGTAGGTGGTGTGGTGGTGGACTGTCTAATAGTAGTGATAGTTGGTGAGGTGGTGGAAAGTCTATTAGTAGTGTTAGAAGATGTTGTGTTGGAATCTCTGTTAGTAGTAGTAGGTGGTGATGTGGTGGAATGTCTATTAGTAGTGGTAGGTGATGAGGTGGTGGACTGTCCATTACTAGTGGTAGGTGGTGAGTTGGGGGACTGTCCATTAGTAGTGGTAGGTAGTGAGGTGGTGGACTGTCCGTTAGTAGTGGTAGGTGGTGAGGTGGTGGACTGTCCATTAGTTGTGGTAGGTGGTGAGGTGGTGGACTGTCCATTGGTAGAGGTAAGTGGTGAGGTGGTGGACTGTCCATTAGTGATGGTAGGTGGTGAGGTGGTGGACTGTCCAATAGTAGTGGTAGGTGGTGTGGTGGTGGACTGTCCATTAGAAGTGGTAGGTGGTGTGGTGGTGGACTGTGCATTAGTAGTGGTAGGTGGTGAGGTGGTGAACTGTCCATTAGTAGTGGTAGGTGGTGAGGTGGTGGACTGTCCATTAGTAGTGGTAGGTGGTGAGGTGGTGGACTGTCCGTTAGTAGTGGTAGGTGGTGGTGGTGGTGGACTGTCCGTTAGTAGTGGTAGGTGTGAGTTGGTGGACTGTCCATTAGTAGTGGTAGGTGGTGAGGTGGTGTGGACGTCCATTACTAGTGGTAGGAGGTGAGGTGGTGGACTGTCCATTAGTAGTGGTAGGTGGTGAGGTGGTGGGACTTTCCATTACTAGTGGTAGTGGTGAGTTAGGGGACTGTCCATTTGTAGTATTAGGTGGTGTGGGTGGTGGACTGTCCATTAGTAGTGTAGATGTTGTGTTGGTGGACTGTCCGTTAGTAGTGGTAGGTGGTGAGGTGGTGGACTGTCCATTAGTAGTGGTAGGTGGTGAAGTGGTGGACTGTCCGTTAGTAGTGGTAGGTGGTGTGGTAGTGGACTGTCCATTAGTAGTGGTAGGTGGTGTGGTGGTGGACTGTCCATTAGTAGTGTTAGGTGGTGAGGTGGTGGACTGTCCGTTAGTAGTGGTAGGTGGTGGTGTCATGGACTGTCCATTAGTAGTGGTAGGTGGTGAGGTGGTGGACTGTCCATTAGTAGTGGTAGGTGGTATTGTGGTGGACTGTCCATTAGTAGTGGTAGGTGGTGCGGTGGTGGATTGTCCAATAGTAGTTGTAGGTGGTGTTGTGGTCGACTGTCCATTAGTAGTGATAGTTGGTGAGGTGGTGGACTGTCCATTAGTAGTGGTAGGTGGTGAAGTGGTGGACTGTCCATTAGTAGTGGTAGGTGGTGATGTGGTGGACTGTCCGTTAGTAGTGGTAGGTGGTGTGGTGGTGGACTGTCCATTAGTAGTGGTAGGTGGTGAGTTGGTTGACTGTCCATTAGTAGTGGTAGGTGGTGTGGTGGTGGACTGTCCATTAGTATTGGTAGGTGGTGGTGTCGTGGACTGTCCATTAGTAGTGGTAGGTGGGGAGATGGTAGATGTTGTGGTGGACGTATTGGTAGAGGGAGGTCCAGTTGAATTAGGGTTGGTGGTTTCAGGGGTATCAGGAGTTTTCAAATCCTCAGTGGTGTTACTTGGATGTGCATCTGTCAGAATTAAGTAGAATACATGCATATAAGTGCCTGTCAATACTAGTTTGATAACACTCTCACAGGGTTGAACTTACCCACATAGCACAGGAAAGGACTTTGAGTAGAAAAATGTTTTAAGTGTCACATGATCAAAATCCTCCCCTTTCATTAGGTTCCTCTCACAACCTGTGTAACAGAGACATTTTACATCTGACAATACAAAAGGTATCAGTGGTATATTCAGGTATTCTACCTGGACAATGGATGCCAATAAATGTTTTGGTATTCTGTTGTATGTTTTGGTTTTCTGTTGTATGTTTTGGTATTCTGTTGTAAATTGTGGTATTCTGTTGTATGTTTTGGTATTCTGTTGTAAGTTTTGGTATTCTGTTGTATGTTTTGGTATTCTGTTGTATGTTTTGGTACTACTATTTTGAAAACTGTCAAAAGTCATAACAGAGGAGGGGCTACTTGATAACACCAAGAGAGGAATATATGAATCACATCTGATCTCTTACCCAGTAGCAGGAGTAGAAGTATTGGCAGTATCATGACCACTGTGAACAAAAGATGTCATGTTTTGAATCACAAGCCAACAGTTCAAGTAAATTTTTTTATAACATTATTTTTGTGAAAAAAGCACTCCTTCTGAGAGTACACGGACAGTGCTGTACCTTTCCAGTTAAACAAAATGACAAGAAAGGAATGATAAGGTGATTTGACTACCAAAGTAGCATTGCAGTTACTCTATGGAACAGCTACAGTGAGGGAAAAAAGTATTTGATCCCCTGCTGATTTTGTACGTTTTCCCACTGACAAAGACATGATCAGTCTATAATTTTAATGGTAGGTTTATTTGAACAGTGAGAGACAGAATAACAACACAAAAATCAAGAAAAACGCATGTAAAAAATGTAATATATTGATTTGCATTTTAATGAGGGAAATAAGTATTTGACCCCTCTGTAAAACATGATTTGTACTTGGTGGCAAAACCCTTTTTGGCAATCACAGAGGTCAGACATTTCTTGTAGTTGGCCACCAGGTTTGCACACATCTCATGAGGGATTTTGTCCCACTCCTCTTTGCAGATCTTCTCCAAGTCATTAAGGTTTTGAGGCTGACGTTTGGCAACTCGAACCTTCAGCTCCCTCCACAGATTTTCTATGGGATTAAGGTCTGGAGACTGGCTAGGCCACTCCAGGACCTTGATGTTCTTCTTCTTGAGCCACTCCTTTGTTGCCTTGGCCGTGTGTTTTTGGGTCATTGTCATGCTGGAATACCCATCCACGACCCATTTTCAATGCCCTGGCTGAGGGAAGGAGGTTCTCACCCAAGATTTGATGGTATATGGCCCCGTCCATCGTCCCTTTGATGCGGTGAAGTTGTCCTGTCCCCTTAGCAGAAAAACACCCCCAAAGCAGAATGTTTCCACCTCCATGTTTGACGGTGGGGATGGTGTTCTTGGGGTCATAGGCAGCATTCCTCCTCCTCCAAACACGGCGAGTTGAGTTGATGCCAAAGAGCTCGATTTTGGTCTTATCTGACCACAACACTTTCACCCAGTTCTCCTCTGAATCATTCAGATGTTCATTGGCAAACTTCAGACGGGCCTGTATATGTGCTTTCTTGAGCAGGGGGACCTTGCAAGCGCTGCAGGATTTCAGTCCTTCACGGCATAGTGTGTTACCAATTGTTTTCTTGGTGACTATGGTCCCAGCTGCCTTGAGATCGTTGACAAGATCCTCCCGTGTAGTTCTGTGCTGATTCCTCACTATTCTCATGATCATTGCAACTCCACGAGGTGAGATCTTGCATGGAGCCCCAGGCCGAGGGAGATTGACAGTTCTTTTGTGTTTCTTCCATTTGCGAATAATCACACCAACTGTTGTCACCTTCTCACCAAGCTGCTTGGCGATGGTCTTGTAGCCCATTCCAGCCTTGTGTAGGTCTACAATCTTGTCCCTGACATCCTTGGAGAGCTCTTTGGTCTTGGCCATGGTGGAGAGTTTGGAATCTGATTGATTGATTGCTTCTGTGGACAGGTGTCTTTTATACAGGTAACAAACTGAGATTAGGAGCACTCCCTTTAAGAGTGTGCTCCTAATCTCAGATCGTTACCTGTATAATAGACACCTGGGAGCCAGAAATCTTTCTGATTGAGAGGGGGTCAAATACTTATTTCCCTCATTAAAATGCAAATCAATTTATAAAATTTTTGACATGCGTTTTTCTGGATTATTTTATTGTTATTCTGTCTCTCACTGTTCAAATAAACCTACCATTAAAATTATAGACTGATCATTTCTTTGTCAGTGGGCAAACGTACAAAATCAGCAGGGGATCAAATACTTTTTTCCCTCACTGTACATGGAATAATCTTTAATTAACTAAAATGCACTTTGAAAGTAGCACTTAAATGTATCATCTAAGTTTAGGTTAAAGATGTGATGAAGATTTGATTTGAATAT